CCAAAGAGGTTCACCTGAATATTTTCCAGGTGTATAGAATTTTTTTTATAGATTTGAGAAAATAAAGATGTGTGTCAAATATTGGGCTAAACACTGGTTCTTGTATAGAGGGGGCCTAATTATAACTGGCAAGTTTAGCCTAACAGGTTCCTAAAAGCCAGGGTCTTAGTCACAGCTAGGTTTTTACTGTATTGAAGACATTGTACTTTGCAGTAATAGCCAAATTAAGACAAAAATTATGTGATCATAAATGCTCAAAAACTCCTTGTGTTGAGAGATGGGGAAATATTATAAACCAGTTTTGAGTGTGGTTATCAAGTTGTTCATTCATTGGAGGGTACAGTGTAGTAAATAATATTTCCAGGAATATTGTCAAGCTCAGCTCGTTTATTCTTAAAAACAATTCCCCATTAGAGTTAAACCAGAAATTACAACTTTTGGCTCAGTATTGTTCTGACATGTTTTCTTTGAACAATAGGTGTATGTAGGGGTGAGGGAAAATTCTTGCCCAACTAAAGATTTTATCTTATCCTCTTAGCCATGGAAGAACATGAAAGTCAGGTCCTCCAGGTTGAATGTAGCATGGAATGCTCTCTGCTTGGTGAACAAGAGCAAAGTCACTCAGCAGGTACTGATATAGTTCATGGTAGGCGGTATTTATTATAGAATTGCATAATTGAGTAAAATCACGCATTCTGATTGGTTAACGAAGAGAGGTATTCAGTGTGGAATTGCGAGTTGAAAACGAGGCTAAGGGATGTTTTTTCGCATCTACGTAACAACTATCGTCAAATTGTAACACAACAACTGCAAAAAAGGTTTTCTACAATGTCATTTTAAAATGTTTTCAAAATCATTGTCACCTTTTGTATATCCTTTCTTAACATACTGTAATATCGCCTGGTCCTCCACCTACTGTTCCAGCCTAAACTGTATTTACCTTTTGCAAAAGTGTCTAGTGCGGCTCATAACAAAAGCTCACTATCTAGCAAATACCGCCCCTTAGTTTAGCCAGCTTAAAGTCCTTGACATATTTAGTATTAATTCATTTTCTGTCACTACTTTTATGTATTCTTATCACCATAATCTTTTGCCTAGTAGCTTTCGAGACTTGTTCTTAAGTAGTAATCAAGTCCATCAATACCAAAATTAGACTGGCCTCTCAGTATAGACCTCATTTTTGTAGATCAAATATAAAGCAATTCAGCATCCTTTACCGAGGACCTTAAATCTGGAATTCGTTGCCTGTTTCACTAATTAGCTCTCCTTCTATATTTGTTGTTAAAAAAAATTTAAAGAATTACCTTATATCAATCGCAACGTTAAAATCAGTGCTTTGCCTTGGACACTTCATTTCTTTCAGTTTTGCTACCGAAGAGGTAAAAGGTGTAAATTATTTTCCTTCGCGAGCAAATGACCAATTTGAAAAAGGATGTTATAGATAACCGGCTTGTAAATTCAATGAAATACCTCTATTTATCCTTACAATTAGTGTGAAGCTTGTTCATGTGTAAAAAAGTTTGAAAACAAATGTAAAAACAAGCACAAGGTACAAAAAAAGTTGTCAAAGGTTCAAACGTGTATGACTGACCTTGCTTCCTATTCGCTAACGCAATGACAGGTTTGACATTTGACTTTGAAATGGCTTTCTGGGGCGTGCGCTCAGGATAAAAACAAACAGTATTATTGGTGTTTTCTTTTTTTTCTGATTTTTATTCGATTATGCGATTCAAGGAAAATCCATTACCTGACTCATGAATTCCACGTTAAATTGCACTTGAAAACCAATATCGGTTTTCGTGTGCAATTTAACATGAAATTCCCTCGTCAGGTAATGAATTTTCCTATAAAACTTAATAATATACGTGGAAAAATTTCTTGAATCAGATTGGCTTAGAGCAGTGCAGTTTTTAGTAAACACAGTACAAAAACAAGGAAACATAAGGCAAAAATAAGGAAATAAAGTGCAAATTTCTCAGAGAATGAAAACCTGTGATTGGCTAATAAACAATCAGTGTTCTCCAGCAGCGCGGGCAACTGGCAGTTTCACTGGGAACTCTTTTCCAAAGTGCCAGCTACTCTTATGAGTCAAAACAAAAAAAAACTGTCTGTAACTTTTATCTTGAATTTTTGTAAGTTCCATTTTTTTTCCGCTGAAGGATAAAACGGCACCAAGCAAATCGTGTTCATTTCTTAGAATACTAAAAACATGCAATTTCATCGAAAATAACAAACAAACAAAAAAGCCACAAGAGCTTGTTTGAAAGTTTATCGAAAAAACACATGAAAATACATGGAACTAAAGTGCCTTGAACAGCTACAAAAGAAGACAGGTGTTGTTTATTCATAGTTGCGAAGCCACTCGCTGAGGCACTTGCCGATAGATAGCTGCGGCTTGTTTATCCGACATGAAGAATATAAATCACAAGCAACCAGAATACAGGCTATGCAGCCATTCACTACAGCAATCGAGGCGTCAGTAAAGCTTCTTTTTCTTGTTCAGCAAAACCAGCTTGTGGCTTCAAACAACTTCATAACAAGCGACCAAGGTAATAGTTTATCTCCGTTGTTCTTACTTTTGTAACTGCTCCAAAAATCCAAATTCACACTAATTTTGATGGCTGTTAAGAATTATTTTTCTTCACATTATCTGCCAGGTTTTTTTAGCTGTCCCACTGTGTAAAATCCTAGAATCTCGATGAGTTTTTAAAAGTGTTCATCTCTACAATGTTTTGATTTTTCATTCATCCAGTCCAGGCGAGTCGGTTCACGCGTTGACAGTTCTGATAGACATGTGACATGTGAATAGCGCAACTCCCTTGTCTTTTCTGGTTTGTTCTAACAAGATTCAAAGGGATTTTGTGGGCGTTTTTAATAAAATAATTATTATTCCACTTGCGCTTGTTGGATGAGATGATTATAATTGCCAACTCGGCGCTATGCGTCTCGTTGGCTATTTACCATCTCATATCCAACGTGCCCTCGTGGAATAATTGTTAATTATAAAATAACTAAGATAGTACATGCATTCTGATTGGTTAAAAACCAATAGTTTATTGTGCCGGTAAAATCATAGAAAACTGAAACATGCTTTAAAGTTATTTTATAAAAGTAAAAGACCACATTTTCTAAAGGTTTGCTGGTGTAATAACCCACTTGGGATGTTGGGAGAAGACTGGAAAAGCTTGTAAACCACCAGCTTAACATCTCAGATCTCTGGGCCTCATGCCCCCAAACCCCCCCTTAGATACAGTACTCTCGCTTTACCAGCACTTGGTGTCAGGCACCAGTTACTTTACATTGGGAGCTGGCTACTCTAAAACTTCTGGAGAACATTGAACAATAGAAATATATAAGAACCAATGAGCCTCAGGTGTCACAATCTGCTTGCTTATCTCCTTAGCCATGGAAGAACATGAAAGTCAGGTCCTCCAGGTTGAATGTAGCATGGAATGCTCTCTGCTTGGTGAACAAGAGCAAAGTCAATCAGCAGGTACTGATATAGTTCATGGTAGATGGTATTTATTATAAAACTTAATAATATACATGGAAAAATTTCTTGAATGAGATTGGCTTAGAGCAGTGCAGTTTTTAGTAAACACAGTAAAAAACAAGGAAACATAATGCAAAAATAAGGAAATAAAGTGCAAATTTCTCAGAGAATGAAAACCTGTGAACAATCAGTGTTCTCCAGAAGCGCAGGCGACTGGTGGTTTCGCTGGCTACTCTTATGACTCAAAACAGTAAAAAAACCTGTCTGTACCTTTTATCTTGGAATTTTTCAGAAGGTCCTAAAAGAAACAAAAACAATAACTTGTCGTACAAAAAGCTCTTTGGTGTATGACAATTTGCCTTTTGCTAATGGTATTATCGATATATTTACTGAATGATTTTTGATGAGACATTGCCAGATAATATTTTTAATTATAAAATAACTAAGACAGTACATGCATTCTGATTGGTTAAAAACCAATAGTTTATTGTGCTGGTAATCTCATAGTAAACTGAAACATGCTTTAAAGTTATTTTATAAAAGTAAAGACCACGTTTTCTATGGATTTACCAGCATGATAACTCACTTGGTTCTTGGGAGAACTCTGGAAAAGCTTATAAATCATGAGCAAAACTTCTCAGATCTCTGGGCTTAATGTCTCCAAACCCCTCCCTTAGATACAGTACTCTCGCTTTATCAGTGCTTGGTGTCAGGCACCAGTTTCTTTGCTTTGGGAGCTGGCTACTCTAAAACTTCTGAATAACACTGAACAATAGAAATATATAAGAACCAATGAGCCTCAGGTGTCACAATCTGCTTGCCCAACTTATTAAGATTATATCTTATCTTCTTAGCCATAGAAGAACATGAAAGTGAAGTCCTCCAACTTGAATGTAGCATGGAAAGCTCTCTGCCAGGTGAACAAGAGCAAAGTCATTCAGCAGGTACTGATATACCGGTAGTTGTTTATGGTAGATGGTATTTTATTATGAAAGTTAACAATATACATGAAAAAATTTCTCTGTGAATTTGATTGGCTTAGAGCAGTGTACTTTTTAGTAAACACAATGCAAAAACAAGGAAACATAATGCAAAAAGAAAGAAATATAATGCAATTTTATCAGAGAATGAAAAACTGTGATTGGGCTAATAAACAATAGAAATTTATCAGAACTAATTAAGTGCCACAATTTGCTGGTGGGAAGCATGTATACTTTTAAAACTTCCCCCTTTTTGGTGTAATTAATTATGCTCTGTTGTCTTACCTAAGTAATCTTTCCTTTTTCTTGTAACACTTTTTTCGTCAATGTTTTATTTTATGAATTTACCTGATTATTTTTATTTATTTATTCATTGTGGGTTTTTTTTTTCATTTTTGTAACCAAGATTTTGAAATTAATAAAGGTGTGGGTGGGCGTGTGTGTGTAACAAATAAGAATGTTAAAACTTTCATATATATATTTTTTACATGGACTCAAAAGAGCAGCTATATAATCAGTGATTTTGTTACCTCTGCATTCTATCTATGTTCCTGACACATAAAAATCGCCAAAGACATAAAATAATTCATGGATATATTGATCTGAACGTGTGTATTTGTAGAAATATCCCGTACGTGTAATTTCTGTGGCAGTTATGGTTGTTGTTTAGTGATGCATATTTGTTTTAGCCTTTGTTGACTTCTGCTTTAAAATAGAAGAACTATATTTTAATTTCAGTATACTATAATACAGAGTTTTGGAATGTGTCTTCAGATTAACTGTCTGCGGCTGGTACATAAAGGCCCAAACATTTTCCATTTTGGACTCATTTTTTTTAACTGGGACTCATTGGTTCTGGACTGGGACTCATGATTTCTCACAAGATGAGTCCCAGAATTCATCATATTTATTTGCAACAAAAACACTGTATAATTCATTGATTAGACCTTTTGTCGTGTTCTTGTTGTGGTAAACATGACAAGTCATCATGTCTGCACTTAATTATCCATGACTGGATTGTAGGATTTTTGTTCTGTTTGTATTTGATCGTGCATTATTATTATGGGAAAACTTACCTTAGGGTTGCATTACTTTGACTAGGACAAAGTTAAAATACATTGAATTCTCATAGAGATAATAATTTTTTGGATTATAATAATGAGTTCATTGGTTGGGTCACTCCCATTATATTTGATGACTGGTTTATGAAATATCAGCACTTAGAAAATGATTGTCAAGGTTGTTGTATTATCCGAAGTTTCAAAAGTAGAAATATTGTGTATTTTGTATTTGAAATCAGGTTTGCAGAACACTTCCACAGATACAGCTTTATAATAGTAATTCTTGTACAGTTATACAAGCATGCAGTACTAGGGTGCGAAGAAAAGGAGGTCAGTTTTGTGCTTGTCCTTCGGGAAGGCTGTAGCTTGCATCTGTTAGCCCAAGAATCGCAACTCTATTATCCCTCAGGCAAGATAAAAAATAGAATCCACTAGCCCCATAGCTTATATGAATTGTGTAGTTGGTTAATACAAATAATTCATTTACTAGGAGAAGAGTTGGAACAACACACTCCTGCAGTAGAAAATGGCCCAATTGAGGGAGCAAGCAACGTGCAGGAAACACAGCAACCTCTTCCAGAAGTAAATAATAGTAGCCACTTAGAAGATGACCGCCTAATTGCTAGAGCAAGGGCAGTTGGTGTGGACTATGAGTTTCCAAAGCCTGGTGAAGTGGAAACGGAGGATGACAGAAGAAAAGATTTTATTTACTTGAATCCAGTCCATTCCTTTTTCTCTCCAACAACAATGATATATTAAGAAACATTGTTATTATAGCTGGAAATTTCTTTCCAACCATGTGCACACTCATTGGTTATTTCAATGTCACCTGACATCTAACAAAGAAACTTTTTGGTGCCAATATTCTCTAAGCAGGCAACATCGCAAAAATCATTCACATCAGAGGGTAACAGTGCACTATTACCCGTGAATGACCAACAACTTACATTCCAGGGAGGTTTCATGAAATTCCATGCAGCTATAAATTTTTTAAAATATTAACATCACAAATCACTTAAAGACTTGGCCCATGGGAAACAGTTAATTTTGTTTTCCAAGGATCTAAATATTTCCCAGCACCATTCTCGTTAGTTACTTCGAGGTCACATGACATCTAACTGTTTCCCACCACAATCTCTGAGGAATTGCCAGGCTAATTGACCAGCTGCTGTGGAAATTGGAGAATGACTGTATGAATGGTTAGGTACGTTAGGTACAGTGCCAAAGTTGCATTGATAACTGTGGTGATCTTCCCTGAATTTATTTCTTCATTCTGCATTTCCAGTATATGAAATTAATGTATTTATTATACCATATATAACTTTGTTGTGTGAATTCACCTTGGATAAGTTAATCTTTTCTTGTGCTGTTTTAAAGTTATAGAGTTTTAGTTTTAGTTTCAACTTTTAAGACCTTTTTCTTTCCTGCTCTTTAAACCTTATCTAACTACGTTGTACTTTTTTCGTAGTTTTCTTTGACTCCTCTTCTTCCTTTGTCGGGAGTGGGTTGCGGCTACACGTAGGCTAGATTACATCCCGATACCGACTGGGAAGTATCAGTATTTGCAACGAGGTTATATCGTATTGTGTACCAGTGTGAATAAAACGATCTTCATCATCATCATTATTATCGTTATTATTATTGTAATGAAATCGGGAGCTCCGCTTTTAGGCGTGGCTAAATCTATATATTATCATATGTCTACCGGCTCATATCATTGGCCTGGGCCTTGCTATTATGGCCCTAATTATGAATAATAAACTATGTAAAAACTTGGTGTAATAAAACAAGACTAGGTCTGAAAGTAAAAATGGTTTACATTTGTCTTGCGTTTTCGATGCCTCTGGTTTCTATAAACCTGTCGACAGGAAAGTCTCCTTTAAGCTTTCAGCGGCTAATCAGGGTCAAGAGTTTAATGTGTTCATTTAATCAATCTCAGGTCTGGGAACATTTAGAATGACAATTTTGTCCTCAAGAGCGACACAGACCTGTGCATTCAACGGAGAAGTAACGAGTCCACGAAGTTTGCCTTCAAAGCTCATAAATCCAAGTACACGTTTCCGGAACACATCCCATACCTTAAAAGCACCAGACTCGTGCACGCCCACAACGACATCTCCAAGATCTTGGACTAAGAAACCGCACCCTTTGACCATTCCATCTCCAGGAGGCAAAATCTTCTTTAGTTCAAAAAGGCTACCTTCCCAAATCCGTAATGTGCCATCAATGTGGCCTGTCACTACTGAGCGGCCATCTGGTGAAAACTTGCAGCACTTGACAATTTGGTCATTAGAAACCTTCTGTGTAAAAGTGCGGCTTTTGAACGTGTCATGCAAACTTAAGCTACCATGACGATTACAGAAGAGAAGTCGATAATGCCAAGTGCTTATGTCACCTGCACTCTTTTCCAAGGTAAAGACGTCGCAACATTCAACCAAAGAGTTATTCGAGTTCAGCTTTTCAACAAATAACTTACTCTCAGCGATGTTCCACACTTGAATGTCTCCCCTTTTAAACAAGAACAAAACTCTGTCATCGTCAATGAATTTGAAGAAAAAGTGGTGTACAACTGGATGAAACAATAGAGACCACTGATACTCAAGCTTGCAATTGTATATTTCAAAGGCATCTTTGGTTTGAATCAGAATGAATTCTCCATTGGGTGACAGAGCAAAGAAATTTGCTTGGCAAATGTTCGTGTTGTTCCGTAGAAAACGACCACTTGAAGCTTCGTACATGCTCATTCCTACCTTGGACAGAACGTAAACATGTTTCCCATCCACTGAAAAGGAAATGGCTTGCACACCTCTGTCAGTTACAACAGCAGACTCTGCCTTCTCTAAGGACTGGCACATATAGACGGTCTCACCGTCCCGTAGAAGAACCCTTTCCAGGTCCACCTCTTTAAGATATTCCCACTTCGTCGCACTGGAAATTGGAACAATGCGAACCTGAAATGGTACATTATCACAGCTGATACGCTGGGAATCACCGCACACATACAATAGGCCTCCACTGCTTGATACCCCAAGGCTTTTGTGAGTCGACCCCAGGTGTAAGAGCGTTGTCTTCGAGGCCTCGCACGTGGATGTGTTTATCTCACACACCGTTAACGACGGCTTCTTTGAAGAATTTACAATAACATGCTGGGAACTTCCTTCCAAACTCGCCAGACAGTCAATTATAAAAGGTTGTTCGCCGTCAAATGAATTGTGCTGACATCGGTAGTTAGGTGCTTTATTTATGTCCCAAAGAGAGACGCCTTGGTCAAAGCTACCCGAAATGACAAAGTTTCCGCAGGATGAGATTGTGCAGCAGGTGATGCTGGCAGTTGTTTGCTCCAAACGGGCCAGCATGTTTCCTGTGTCAAGTTCCCATACAAAAAGGGCGGCAGTCAAATGTGTTTGTCGAGTCACCAACTTTTTCCTGTCTTGTGAAACACATGAATCGATGAAAGAATGACTGTTGTCCGGAAACAGCTGCATGGACTCGCCTTTAAATGTCACAGCACTATCGAATCGACCATAGATGATTGCGCCATGATGGGGGACAAATACACAGTACCTGCAACGTTCCTCCTCTGGCCATACCTCAACGTCATCACTTTGGTAGGACCATAGTTCCCTTCCTGTCTCCAAGGAAAACATGTGAATAAAGCCCCCTTTAAATCCACAGACCAAAAGTGAGTGTTCGCCATCTTTCAAAACATCACAGCAATTCACGTAGGTCTTACATCGGAATTTAGAAGTTACTGGATTCTTAGACTGGGCTCTGTTAACCACCTCCACCCGAAGAGGAATCTCAAATGGGGGTTGATGCATTACAGCACAAGCTTCAAGACTCATTGCGGTTGTTTCGGCCTCGTTTACCAAAAACTGAAAAACCATTTCAGGGTTCTCCATCAGAACGTAAGGATGTCGCTTCAAGCAATTTATGCAGTCGTCCAGTTCCATCGAGTCCACATTTGGCAAATTCAGAATTGACTTGATGCACTGAAGCTCTTCGATGATCGAAAAGACATCACAAACTTTGCTCTGTAACTTGGCATACAGGAGCTCTAGGCTGCACGCATGGCGAAAGAGTTCATTTCTTTGCCTTTCACTTATTTCCAAACATTCAGAGGCAGTAGAATGGTAAGTTCCGTGTTGCAGAGCATAGTTTTCTTCTGTAGTGTTCTCAGCAACGTCGACATTATGACGATTCTCAATGGCCTGGTAGATCTTCATACACTCACTAGAAAGAATGGCGTTGCCTCGATTCAAGTCAACTGTGAATCTGTGGTTTCCATATAATTCAGGGACAGACAACCAGTCAACGATCGACTTGTGAAAAACATCAATGCACTCGTTTCGAATGGGCAGAAGGGTTGAGATGGATCCCGAGATCTTTTGAATTTGACCTGAATTACCATCTACAGTGTCGCGGCAGAATCCTAGTATTCTGTAAGCAACCGTAACGGGCAACGGAGACCGCGCTGCAGCAATTGAAGCTAGAAAGTCGCAGAAAGGCCCATTCTCGACGCCGAGATTCATCTGTAGGCGACCAAAGTACTGGTCATAAACGGAGGCAATTCCACTAGGGAAGATGTCGTTGAGATCCTCAGGCTTCACAGTTTCTTTATTTTCTTTGGCAAATTGGACAAAATAGTGCGCGTAAAGCTTGAGCCCTTCGGCTTGATTGACAAAGCGATGAACATTTTCCTTCACGTCACAGCTTGGTAAGATATCCCTTAAACTATCCTCCAAAAACACCTCAATATCTTTCTGATTGTTTTCGTCCTGAGCGTCAAGGACGAGGGGATTTAAATGCTCAAGCTTTTTGGCCATCTGGTTTTCTGGTCGGCCTGTCACGAGAAACTTTATCCAAGTTGGCAGCTTGTGAAACTGCGACATAATAACGTCTAACAGTCTGTTCCTTCCATCGTACTCGCATTCATCTAAAGCATCGACCAACAACAGGAAATTCATACCTGGGTCCTCGATGATGTTTGTTGGCTCCTGAAGGAGATGGGTAAACAGCTCTTCTATGTTCATACTCGCTAGTTCGTTAGCACTTACGGAGGCCAGCTGACCTATCAATAAAAGACAATGTCTCACTTCTGAATACTAAGTATAACTTATCACGTGAATTTTTACAAAGACTAAAAAGTTAAACACAACGGAGGAAATGAATATATAAGTATCATTCCAGCTACATTAATCATACAATTGTTGAGTTAAACGATTCCAACAGTAACCTTAAGTACTTTCGCCTTTGATGATTTTCACTTTCCACAAGAAACATGCTTTAATACACTGACCTTGAACACTGGGTTTTACCGGTAAAAATTAATCACAAAACGTCAATGCGATCATCGCAGTTTTGTTAACCTGCTGTCAGTAGCAATTGATGAAAAAGAAAATGAAAGTAAACATCCGACCTGATAAGGTATCGAACTCTGATCATCGCGATGACCAGAAAGAAACGCTAATACTGAGATTACACGACCAACGTCAATTATAATTTCGTAATAGACCTGGAGATGGTGAGTAAAAAAAAATTAATATATGAATATCGCGACATACGAGCTTGGGCTGTAGGAAATAAATAATAAATGCGATCCCCTCAGCTGCTGATCACATTTAACACTTATTTGCCTTATCTTCTATTCCTTTTTTTATACCCACATTATATTTTATAAGGTTCTTGACCAAGTAGCCATTTAGCAAGTGGTCGTGGTAAATTCACGATCATCAGTAACCTGTGGGTAAGAGGGAAGCACAGCTGCCTCTTCTTTGACCATACCCCTTTGCACTTTTCTAAATGCAAAACAAATAAGTAATACTGTGAAAATATTTCTTCATTTTCCTCCTTTGTGTTTTAGGAACCTCACTGTTTGCAGCTCTCTTTAATAGCATCCTTATTCTTGAAGCCTTCATTGCATAATTATATATCGTAACTGCTTTTAAAATAATAATCTTACCTGTTAAAATTTCTTTGAATCCTGGAAGTGAATCACATAAATGCTTTGCAAGTGACTGAAGCATCAGCTCTGGTTTCCGTCTTCTCTGGTTATTATGCTGGCAAAAGTGCATACCACCAAGACGCCCCTGATCCTTCATTTTCTTGCACAACTTTGCTGCAATAACTGTCTTTCCCATGCCAGCATTTCCAGCGACGATTAAAACACGCGAATCTGAACCCCGATCGAGAAACCACGAGTCCACGTGACAGAAAACCCACTCGCGGGTTCCACGATGATGTTTTGACGAATAACACTCGACTTCGGCGGAGAAATCAAACTTCGCGAGCCTTTCTATGCAGTTTCCGGTCAAGAGTGACGCAACTTTAAGGCTTGCAATCCGAGATGCATCTTCACCAAGTCGTTGCATCGCTTCAGAAATTTCTCTCCATGAGGCCTCGAAAGAAGTTTTATCAACTTCCACCACCGAGGGATGACTGTACTTGTTACGATACCAATGAATCATCTCTATAGCGCCTTGAACTGTGCGATCCGTAGAGGCAGGCTTGGTGCCCCAGCCCGTAGCGGGAGACGGTAGTCCACAAATATTTCGAAGTAAATTGTAAAGCAGAGAGATATCGAAATTCTTCGACGAAGGGGATCCAACGGGCGGGTATAATTTGTCCTTCTGTGACTTGTTAATGATTTTTTTTTAATGAGACTTTTTATGTCAGCCTCTTTGATTTTGAGAAATTTCTGCAGGTTTGGCACACGGTTGTCGAAAACATTCCTTAACCTCTCTGTTCCACCATTAAAGAGAAGTTTAATGAGCCTCAGACCACAGAGAGTGTCCTCTGTTATTTCCAAGCTGTGCTCCATTCTGAGGCACTTACTGATAATAAAATAAAATAAAGACAAAATGTTAAAAACGTCCAAAACGAGCTAGTTCCCACAGTTGTTGAAATGCTAACTACGCACCTTTTTTAACACTTCTACAGACTGACCATTCTTGAAACTGTTACAACAGTTGTTAGAAAAACTGTGGTAAAAGAATGGAGGTTCACCCTTCCAGCCGAGTCAACTTTAGCGAGCCTTTATATGAGAAGCATACAACGTTGGCTCCTTTTGTCTGAGCCAAAAGCTGATAACAGCGCTAGCGCATCCTCTGATTGTCTCTCCTTTACCTAGTTGAGCAGGCTGGGCGAACCGAAGTGTTTATATGGAGAAAATTTGGCCCGGTTAGGAGAATTACCCTACCATCGATACAGAGTGGCCCGGTTAGGCGGAGATGTAGCAACGTTAGCTCGCCCAGGGTAGCATGGGTAGGCGAGTAAGCCTTGTATCTGCCTTGATTGCTACCAGGTATGTCACGAAGGTTTTTTTGTATTAGAAATTGATTGCTTACAGAAACGATAACCCCTAAACAATTTTCTTTAGACTGGACGATAGTTCGTGCAAGTTTTTTTAGACAACCAAATATGAACGTTGTCAAGTTACTGTTCATATTACTCCGAAGTATAGTAGTAATGTCGATATGTTTACCAGTTGGCATCATCTTGTGATTTATAAGTAATTTCTTCACTCGCTCGCGCCAAAATCCATAGCGAGTGAGGGCGAGTATTTGCGGCAGCAGTAAAACATGGAATCCAGAGTCCGGAAACGGAAACAGAAACGGAAACGGAATACGGAATCAAATATCAATGGTAGAAAATTAAAGAATTTCACATTGCATAATTTAGTACAATCTAAAGAGAATTTGTTTTAGTTTTCTTTGCAGTTCCCTTAAATATACCTTTGTCAATTTGTCTTGATAAGGTTTGCCATAGTGTGATTTATTGCACTGCAAGGCCGATAAAAGTAATTTTACAAGTAATTTTTATTCACAAGTTTATGGGTTGAATAATAAAGTTAAACAGTACCTTTTTCCGTATTCCGTTTCCGTTTCTGTTTCCTTTTCCGGATTCCATATTTTAGTGCTGCCCAGTATTTGGAAAACTTAAGGAAATGGACAGGACTGCCGTGACAAGCATCACATCTTTAGCAGTTTCAAATTAGTTTGACTATTTCTTTTTTCAATTTTATCTCCAGTAACTGGAGGCAGAGAGGAGCTTCATTTTTGGTCTCAAATAACCGTAGGAATGAGAAATTTTCTTCATTTTCATGCAAACTCAGACTCTAATTTGCCGATATCGACATAGAAACGGTATCAGATCACTTGCGGTCCTGTCAAAGGCACGCTGTTTTATAGCTACAGTCCGGCAATGAAGTGTTTATCCACTGACGGCATTGGTCTGTAGACGAAAATCAGTCACAATTCAAAAACGCAACATAAATAGTAGGGAAAACCCCGCGATATAACTTAATAAAATGTTCCATAACGTGCTGTTCGTCACCTGTCACACTCTTTGCTTGGAGTAGAATGCGTGACGTGCATAACCCAATACCGAGTTAACGGTATCAAATTTTCTTTTGATCAAAGAAAAAAGGTTTGGGGTTAAAAAAAGGTTAGCGTAAAAATTAGTCGGAAAGTCAATAAAAGAAGTTAAAAGAAAATAAATATTCCTTGAGTTCTTAGAAAGATTGTTTTGACGCCAAATGATATTCCTAGAAATATAAGGAAGAAGTAACAATAATTGTCTTCCGGTAACAAGAAGTACAGTTGAACCTCTAAAAGCGGACACCTCTCATAAACTGACAAGCAGGCAGTTAATCAAGCCAGTGACATACACACACTACGTCCCTTAAGTGGACATGTCGCCCAAGTGGACACTTCTTCTTGTCCCAAGGATATCCAGTCACTGGAGCTTTCACTGTATTGCATAGTATTATTTCGCAGAATCGCTTCCGGTTTTCCAATTGCGCAAAAAGGGCATGCAAATTGTATTTGGAAAACAGAAGAAATACACTGGTTTTATATCACTCTGAGCATTAAAAAAATATGTAACGTTTGCAATAAGGAAGTTTGCTTTGATCAGCTTTGATGAAGAATGTGGACTAAGAGGGCTAAGAAGCTGACCAACCAACTTGCCGGATAACAACAGGATATGTGACAACATCAAAATGATTATTGACATTTCGTAAGAGTTAACCTTTTTAATAGTCAAACAAAGTTTTAAATTCGTTATGTCCATCATAGTATGAATATTCCTCGTTGATCTTTTTAGCTTAAGGCTGTCAAAGGAAGCGAAAACCATTTAGAGCCTCGTAGAAGAGGCGGCTGATTCAGTCTACACATCCTCAACTTTACAGTAACTTTACAGACTATCTTCCCTTGATCACTGCAAAATTATTGAAGACAACTAATACATACCATCCTGAGACGTTGAAGATTCAAATCTTCAAGCGGTGTTGGCCAATTTACGAACATTTTCAGGGCAATAATGTTGCGAGTCCGGACCCTTTCACGCCTCGACACGAATAGTTAATAGTCCCGTGATTTTTGATCTTTGGTCGTTGCTGAGGAAAAAGCCTGACGTCATGTTAAGGATCTGGTCACGCTAACGCAATACCTTCAGGGGTGTCACGTATGAGTAATATGAAATACTAAGTAAACCCACAATTCTTAAAACAACTTTGAGAGGGACGAGGGGAGCACGAGAAGGGAAAAAACAGCGTTTGGTTAAAGTGTCCCAACTATTTTTGTCTGAGACTGTATCGGGGAGGAATTTAAAGGCGTGTTGACAGATACAGAGGTTAATCTGTAGGTCGGTCACAAGCGACGGGCTTTTGGTTTGTTGGGTATCCATTGTGTTTCGTGAACGTTTCTATAGCAGTGAACTAAGTTATTTGGGCATAACAACATAACACAAAGAATGACCAGTTCGCAGAAATTTCTTGGGCAGAGTAGAGTATTGGAAAATAAAAGGAACTGAGTGTGCAATAAACCGTACACAAACAGCTTTCTAGTGGCCGATTGATAGCGTGACAATATAGCACGTGCATGCCATCTACGTAAGATTCAGGGTTTTCATATACGGAGAGGCGCTCGAATGTGCCATATTTCTAGAAAAAATCTGTGGAGAAAAATAGAGAAGGCCTCTTTGCCAAGAAAGAGTGTAGGAACAAGGCTCAAATTGACGCATTTCCAACTTAAGGGCAAGAGGCGAAAGACAGCTGAAAGAGTGATTAAGTGATTTCGAGAGAAAGGAGGAAACTTTTCCTCCAGTTTGGACGAAAATGCAACAAGCCAGGATTATTCCCAAGACGTATCAGCGAGAACAGTATCCCGCTTTCTAAATTTCTAAAGATACTATTGACTACAAGCGCGTAAAAAGGGTGTCCAACAATAGTGTAACTGTTTGGTCCGACGCCAAAAAGGTTCTTAATAATATTCCAGGCTACTGCTGTGAAATCGCTTTTTATAAGTTGTTTACAACATATGTTAATTTGGCCTTGCGCCAAGAGGTGACATCGGTTCTCATTCTTTACCCCAAATACACACCTTTCTGAATAATTCTAAAACAAACTACTGTGCCATAAATGTGGGACTTGAGGTACAAAACATGACTCATATAAAACGAGGACACTACCTATCCTTAAAACCTCAAAAAAAGCATTATACTCGACATGTACACGGGTCACCGTACACTAATTCAATTAAGATATTTATAAGTTTCTTTCAGCGAACAATCGTGTCACCATGATCACAGTTTTAATAACTTGTCTTACATGTATCAAGGCGATATAAACCTTGGCTATTTCAATTAAGTATGAAAGTACCTTATCCTTTTCTTTCTTAATCCATTATATATACCAGAGAGCTCTAAGAAAACGCCCTGGATAGTATGGTGACCCGTTATGGTGACCCGTCCAATCGTGTCTCCACCGGTACAATATATTAGCGGCAAGATACGCAGCCTGCGAAATAATGCGCGCAGTTTTGACTTATCCGTTGTTCACTCAGTTGAAACCCAATACGTAGAAAGCTTTTTTAATAACGTGGAATGTTGTAATTAAACAAACAAAGACTTCTTTCCTCTATTAATTGTCTTCTCTCTTTCTATCCTTGGAATCACTAATGTTTTTCCCGAAATAATGGCTCCGAAACGTGCATATACCTGCCTAGCGATTTCCCGCCAATAGGGCCTACGAGGAGTCACATACCTAAAATTCCTCAAAAACACTGTCTCAGTCAAAATGGTTGGGACACTCTGGGGTCTCCTTGTCCCCTCAATGTTGGTGTACAAGATTTGGTGACCAAACCGCGATAAACAACTTTGAGAGGGACGAGGGGAGCACGAGACGGGAAAAAACAGCGTTTGGTTAAAGTGTCCCAACTATTTTTGTCTGAGACTGTAGCAATGTTGATTATTTCACGATTTTGAAATCAGCTTGCAAAAGCTTAATTTCAAAGAGTTTTTTTTTCTTTAATTAAACCTATATTATTTGTTCCACAGCTTTCGGAAAACAAGGTGATAAAAACGTGTTGGGATTTTCTCATTTTCGATTGCGATTACAGGACTAAAAAGTCGGGTGATCACCCATTAAATGTCTCAACAAAAAGTAATAACAAAAACGAAATTTCCC